CCTTGCAGCAACACTGTTTGGTGACCGAGGTCCCCTTGCGAGCTCAGGTATCCAGCAGCGGCTTTGCTTACGTGGGTGCGACGGTTGCTGGGGGGGCGTCGCGCCCATGGGGTTGGCGCGCGCGTGCTGGCCCACTGACTCCGCGCGCCTTTCTCGTGGAGGCGTCCGCGCCATTCGGCGGCGAGGGCCATTGCGAGGACGCGCTGCCACTCTCTTTAGTACGCAACACGTTGCCATCGCTGCTGTGTTTCTTTGCTCCCGAGTGCGCGCGCATAAGTTATGTATCGCGCCCCTTGCGCGCCCCCCGATGTGGCTGTGATGTAGCAATGTGCGTAATTCGTTTGTTTTGTCACTGTCATCGCCTAGCCCGTCTTCATGCGCAGCGGTTATACTTCGCAATTGGATGTGACATGCAGATGTTGCCGTGTTTGCCCCAGGGAGTCAGCGCGACGCGGGCTTTGTCGCGACGTTTGCGCCCTCGTCGGGGGCTCTTCAGGGCGACGTTGCCGTCCTCTTGCGCCCCTAGTGTTGGCGCGTGCGCGGCGCGTCGGGGCAGCTAGGCCACGACAGCCAACTGTGGCGCCAGGTCGCAATTCCCATCGTTGCATACATGCGGCCTGGCCTGTCAGTACGCGCGCGCGTCGCATCGACGATCGGGCTCGTATTCGCGCCACGCACCAGCGGCGGTGCCGACCCCTGACCACGTGCACAAGCACTCCGACAAAATCGCCGAGTACCCGAGGCAGTGCCTCAAGTACTCGGTCGAAAATTTACTATGGACCGCTACGTACTTTGAACGTAAATTTACGGTGGTTACGAAATCAACTTTACAGTAAAAACTATCAGATTTACAGTAAATTAGGTCAGATTTACAGTAGCGGAGGCAGCGCGTACTTTGATCGTACTTTGAACGTACTTTGAACGTACCTCCCGAACGTACTTAAAACGTACTTCGAACGTACCTCGGAATTTCCAGCGGGCGTGCCCAATTTGTCCGCGTAAATCGCCGAGTGCTTGAGCATGTGCTTGTTCGTCGGCGCTGTTCGCACGGTCACTATCTCCTTGTATCTGAAACACGCTCGGGATTTTGCAAAGTACCCCCCCCCTTCCCCTTCCCCCCCCCCCCCCGACAACTGCACAGTCCCCCCCCCCCCCCGCATGCGCGATGAGTAAGTCCCCAGGCACGTCGGGTTTCTTGGCGCTGCCTTGCCTGCTGCGCGCGCGTTGGCACGTGAACTCAGGGTGCGAGAGTCTCGTCGGGCTGGGAAGCGCGATCGCGTTGCGCTCGGCCGACGCAGTCAGGGGGCGAAGCGGGCTCGTGGCGAGCATGGCGTGGGTGAAGAGCAGGCGCGTGGGGCGTGCGATGGGCTTGGGCGCGTGGGATTGCGGCGGTGGTGGCGTGCGCGGGGTGGGTGCGGCGGCGCGGCGCGGGGGGTGGCGGGGCGAGGTTAGCGGCTGGTGGGGGGTGGAGGCTGGCGCTGGCGGGGGGGTGGCAGGGGTTGCCTGCGCGCGCGGAGTGGCGGACGGGGCAGAGTGGGGCAGCGTGGGTCGGGATGTTGGGGGCAGGGCGCGCGTTGTCGGGCATGGGCAGGTGGTTGGGCAAGCGTAGTGGCCGTCGGCGTGGGCGGGGTGGGGAGGCGAACTGGCGGGTGGGGGGTGGCTGGGACGGGTGATGCTGGATGGCGGTGGGTCGGGGGTCTGAGGGTTGGGTTGGGTGGGCATGTGGGTGGGGGTGGCGGGCGAGGGCGCGGGCGGGCGGGGGGTGGTGGCGCGGCGGGGTGGGTGCGGCGGCGCAAGGCCCGTGGGTCTTGTGAGTCAGCGTGGGCGTCGGAGCGAGCGCTGCCTGGTTTGCGCGCGGGGCCTCAAGCTTGCGCGCGCGCGAGCATTGCAGGTCTTGTTGGGTCCCCAGGCGCGCTCTGACATGGGCCACCGCGCGCGCGTTCACGCGATTGGGCGTCGCGGGCGTGGACGGGGTTCGTGGGGGTGGGGCGACGTGGCGGGCGTCGTTGACGGGATGGAGAGGTGGTGGGCCTTGTCGGTTGGCGCGTAGATTGGGGCATTGCCGTCGGCAGTGGCATTGTGGGGCGCGGTTCGCTCGCAGTTGAGCCGCCCTCTCCGCCCCGCGCCGCCCAGGTCCACGGGGCCTCGGCCAACGGGGCCTGGGCATGCACCGGCCTTTGCTTAGCGTTAGGGCTTTGTGGGCGTCACCTACGCACTGCCCTGGGCCATCTCTCTGGAAAGCCAGCGCGTTCTTCGCGTGCCAGGTGCGCGCGGTTCCAGCACGTGGCAGCGCGTGCGCCCGAGCCAGGGCAGAGCCACGGGGCCTTGGAACCAACGGTGGGCGATTCTACATTCAGTGTTGGTTCAAGCGCCTGGCGCGCCTGGGAGTCCGTGCCAGTGGGCGCTGCGAATTGGCCCGAGTAGTGTATGGTTTGGTTTGTGAGGGTATGAGTCAATGTCTGATGAGCTTGCGCGTCGCGGCTGCCTGGGTTTGGGCGCCAAAGTGAGGGTGGGTTCGGGTGGGTTGGGGCGCGCATGCGAGTATGAACGTGGGTCAGTCTGGGTTTGTGCGAGTCAGCCTTGGGGAACGTCAAGGCGAAGTTTGAGGTGAGGGCGTTAGTCGGTTTTGGTATCCTCGGCGCATGACCAGGTGACACAACCATGTGAGGATCACGAACATCATGCGCCCACGCGTGCGGTATGTTGTGCTGCATGCCATCACAATACAACGAGCAGTGCGCGTACCTCTGCGCAAGCTATAGTCAGCTCTTGGGGCTCTTGGGGTCCTTTGGGGTCTTGGGGCCTTGGGTATTCAGGGGTCTCTTTTGGTTCTTGGGTGTTTGGGTTTCTTGGGTGTTTGAGTGTTCGGGGCTCTTTGGCTATCTTGGGCAACGCTGGAGCAATCATGCTTTGTCGAGGGGCTGTGGTTGTGCTTCAATTTCAATATCAAACATGTCGTGGCGCCTTTTGTTCGGGAGTTTTTTCTTGTGGTTCACACTTCCTTTTTCTCTACGTCATTGATATTTGTGAATCGATCATTCTCTCCCGCACAATGGCTATTGATGGGGATGATGTGACGGTGAGGTCTCAATTTCCAATTGTTCGAATCAACTTGAGGGAGCTCTCTTCCGAGTACGAACGCATTCATGACATGGAGCTGCGAGTTCCACTGAGATTGGAGATCAGGTCCAAGGCGCGGGCCCCGGCCAGTTCGCAGCAGCAGCAGCAGAGCTTCAGGAGGCGCCATCGCGATGATCAGCCGGAACACGGCGGCGGCCGCGGCGAGGAGCCGGCCCCGAAGAGGCAGGCCGCCAGCTCGGACAACAACGACGACGAGGGCATGGCGGCTGCAGCAGAGGAAGTGGTGTCATCACAAGAGCAGCCAGGCTTGCAGCCACATGAGCAGGGTTCCCAATTGCTCAGCGACCCCTTGGTGACCCTTCCTTGTGCGCCTGGCTTGCCGCCGCCGCCAAAGGCCATTCAGCCACCTCGCGGCGCGCCAGTTTCGGAGAGGCTGAAACACTTTGATCACGCGGGCTACAGCAAGGCCGACGACCTTGGTATATTTCGTGGTGGCACACCAGATGCAGGTGCAGCTGGTGCTTCTGAGCATCGTGGTCGATCTCCGCGTGCTGATGCAGCAGGGCCGAGTGGACTCCAGGATGTTGCAGCGAATGCTTCCACCTGCGCAGCAGCAGGTGCCTCCGCAATGGCAGTCCCCGAAATGAAGCCGAAGCGCAGTATCAGCGATGCCCTTCGTTCGCTGGAGGGTGAGTGATGAATGGTCGACTTTCTCTTTGGTGCTGAAGGAATGCATCATGACAGAGGTGATCCTTACATACTTTCTCGGGGGATGGTGGTCTGATGTATTCACGTGATGGGTGCATCGTTGTTGACGGAGGTTGTTCCTCATTCAGAGCCCATGCGATGAGGACGTTCGTTTGCTCGAGCTTGTATTCTCATGTTTGCAGCGGGGTCGACTCTCGATCGATGGCATGCGAGCGCGGTTTTGCGAAACATTCAAAATTAACATATCATGGCATGCAGTTGCACGAATGGTGTTGTCTTTGGAGAGCCTCAGAAGGGGATCCACACAACACTGCACACACAAGTTTTGAGCACCCACGTGTTTTCCAATCATAGGGGGCGCCATCGAACATCAAGAAACATTGATGGCATGGGGGGCGCTAGTATCGGTGGCCACGCATTGCCTTATCAAGCCCTTCGCGGCGTCAAAGAGCAGCGCATGTCGGAACACACTGCGGCTTTGCAAGCGTACACGCAGTGCTATGCTACACTACGCTGCCTGGAGTGTTGGATTCGTTGGGCTCTCGGGGCTTTCAGGGTTTCTTGGGTTGGCATTCCTTGACTCTAAGGGTTCTTGGGTGTCTTGGCCGTCCTTGAGGCTGAGAGTCTTTGAGGGTTTGGGGCTCTTGAGTGCTGGGGCTATAGAGACCCCATTGGAGGGCCACTGTGGAGCCCCAGAGTGGGTGATATCAACGCTGCGCGTCGCCTGCGCAATCGATGTGTTCCTCGAGCCGTCGCGTCACGTGCGTTCGCAGCGGTGAACGCAGCACGTCTGCTGGACAGTGTCTTCCTTCCGAGAGATCCACCCATCGATTGGTCAAGGACCTTGAATCGAGATCACAGGGCAATGCGACGTGTATCTTACAGTCTCCAGGCGTTCGGCACTTCTTGATTTTACGTGCGTCTTCTCGGCGCCTCGCAGACGCCCTCCTCGTCCATCGGCGTCGGGCTCGAGCCTCGTGCGGCCTCGAGGCGCGGCCCGACCTTGGGCCAGTCGCGCCGCGTGCTTTTCAGGTCCCAGGGTGACTGACTTCTCTACTGCGTAAGAGGCACCAGCTAGCGTCATGAGCCGCAGGGAGACCGACGAGCCTCCTGCCAAGCGGAGCAGGGCGCCCGCCATTTGCACGTGTCTGGCTTGCGGGGCCAAGGGCAATGTCGTCGGCATTGAGTGGGCCGACGAGCAGCCAGCCAAGGGCACGAAGAACATGTTGCCGCGTGGGCCAGCTTGCAAGAAGTGCCATGAGACAGACCTACACCATTGGTTTCACTCACAAAGGGTCGTTCGAGGAGGTCTGTGAAGAAAAGACGATCAGTGAGATGGTCAAGGCCGGCTGGGACGAGGCGCATGGGGTGTTGCACGGCGAAGGCCCACCGCCATTCAAGCATATGCAATTGACTTCGGACTCGTCAGACGGCGTTACCATCACCAAGTCTTACGTGGGCCTTTCCCGAAAGGAGGTCATTGACCACTTCAAGCGTTTTCCAGAAGACGCCGGGTACAAGCTCGTCGACCTTCCTGACGTGGACGGCAAGCAGTTCAAAGGCGTCTTGATGAAGAACCCGCAGAAGCCTTGGACAGAGTTTACCGTCACCTCTGGCAGCGGAGTCAACAAGAGCTTGATCGCTCTCAGGCCTGATGCCCACGTCTACAAGAATTAGGCGCAGGAAGTGGGTCTCACGCTCAACCAGGGCCAGGAGAAGGACAAGCTGATTCAGGCGTGCAAGAGTTGCCATCTCACCGTGGCACAGGTGACTGAGACGGTCAAGAAGCAGCGCGCTGACCTGGGCATTGGTTCAGACTCTGACGAGCCTGGCCGTGGGGCCGCCGCTGCAGGCAGTCAACCCATGCGCGTTGACGGTTCCGATGAGGAAGGCGGCGGGCCGCCCGAGCAGCCCGACAGCGATGAGGAACGTGAGTGGACGCAGAAGGACAAACGCATCGGTCGGGGTCGTGGTGGTGCCAAGGCTCCTGTGCGGCCCCTGATGAGTTCAAGGCCAGGAAGGTCGCAGCCCTGCCCATCGAGCAGATCCTTGCCACAAGGAAGAGCTTCGGCACCAAGCTCCGCTGGGGCAAGGAGGCCGTGGAGCAGCTCGCTGCTCAGGGGCACGCCGGCTTGGCGGACCAGCTGCAGGAGCACTTGGACCTCGCAAAGTCGGCGCACTTCTTCGTCGAGAACACAGTCGCCAAGACTCCGTGGGAGAGCATCCTGAAGGAGGCGGTGTTTCTCAAGGGTCGCGGTGTCGAGGTCGATTTGCGTTTCAAGGATGAGCTGCACGATAGATTGCTCACCCACCTCACTGGCCAGGTTACTCTCGACACTGACTTGATCGCGAAGTTCCTCAGTGTGAGCACCTCCGCTGCCTTCGACCCGACGGTCTGCAGCGTCGGCACTTTGGACGGCTCCCCAGCCGACAAGGACTCGAAGCTCAAGCGCGACTTCTAGACCCAAAGGTTATGCCATGACCGCCTGCCCAAGATTATTCCTCGGGGGATGGGGGTCATTATGTAGGGGGCAGCGAGATTTGGTCTGGGGCGGGTGTCTGTTGGTGTAGCCAGATAGTCGGTCGGCTACACGCGTAGCCCAACAGCTGTACATTCTTACCAGAACTCTCATGTTCACACGCGCGTGTGTGCGCGTGCGCTCGTACCGACCACCATGCCTACACGGACACGCGCGTGCACGTATTCATAGTTACCTACCATGCACAACAAGTGTTGTGAGAGTACGTTGGTACAGTAGATATCCACATCACGCACGCACGAGGTCCTACACCGATTTTTATGTTGCGCACCCCACGCTGGTTTCCTTACTTCGCTTCGCCATGCTGTCGGCAACAGGTGGTGCAGTGTTTATGTATATGCACCTCTGCAGCTGAACGCCTGCACTCGTCTAGTGGCGCCAGCACCCACATCTCCACCAACACAACCGTTTGGACATCTACGTGCATCATGACAGTTTCATCGCATTCGTCGTCCTTGTTGTCCTTACCATCTTTAGCGTCAGCACGGTCGTCGTCGGCATCGTCGACGTCCTCGCCGCGTTGGCCGTCGCCGTCTTCGACGTCGTCATCGTCGCGTTGTCCTTTTGGCCGTCGCCGTCGCCAACGTGTCGTACCCGTTGTCGTCGTCTTCGTCGCCGTTCTCCCCCCCCCCCAGCCTCCTCCGCCGACGACCTGGTTGCCCTTTTAGGGCAGGAGGGTACTTTCGTTGCGGCCTTCATGGATAAGGGTGCTGAGTTGGCTGAGGTGGTTTTTAAGTTACTCGATGCTCTGAACGCTGCGTTCTCTGCAGACTTGGACAATCAGAATGCGGCTTACGATGAAGTGATATCGGAGATTTTTCTGCCACAAGGTAGTATCGTGCCTCAGCGGCGCTGACCGCATGTTCGTAGACCAGGTCGTCGAGTGCGACGAAATCAACATCAAGTGTGACACAAGAGTCATGGGTTTCAAGATTGCCAAATCACTGAAGAGGAACAAGTTCTGGGCCGACCGCCTTGGCGATTGCGTGGAGCACGCAGATGGCATTCGCAACCGCATGTCCGACATCAATGGCGTGATGCGGTACCAGGCTGTCCCCGACGCGCAGCCTGTTGGTGACCAGCTGACCGAGCTCAGGGACGCGTGCTTGGCGCAGGTGGCCCTCGTCAAGAATAGCAAGGGCTCTGTGCCAGACTGGATGGCAGGGAACTTCCACGAGACAGTCAAAAATGACGTGGTTGCATTGCATCAGGTTTGGTGGGCGGGGCAAGGGCATGCCGTATCCGCGGAGGACATCAAGATTTGGATTGAGTTTGTTGCTACTGGCAAGGACGTCTTGCCGTCTGGGATCGGTGATTGGGCCAACATGGGTGATGGCCGCAGAGAGGAGCGCAACGCAGTTGATGGACATCGTGTGTGCTAAGAGGGGCAGCTTCTTGCTCAGCTCGGAGGAGGTTGCGAGAACCGATGACCTCATCACTTCACTAGCTGCCTCCACTCGGGCGGGATATGATCCTAAGACGATTTTGGGTGCCGAGAACTCGACTAGGGTATGCAACTGGCTTGGGCGAGTGCACAAGGACGCGTTTGCATGCACGGACTCCAACATTCACGGCAGAATCGGTGAGGTGACTACGATGTTCGAGAAACTCGTGCAGGTCCCAGCTGGCCTCAAGCTCGCATCACGTATTCTTTGCGATTGGCCCAACACCCAGACGAAGCTTCAGGCGTTCATCGGTCTCGGAGGTAATGTAGAGTCCCGCGTGGAGAAGGACCCGCACATGGCTGCATTAAAGGATGCTCTGTTCTGCAACCACCATGCTCTTGCCAAGTTTGAGAGTGGCCTTCCAGAGTGCGTGGCGTCTTCCAAGGTGCTCGAATCACTGAACGAACAGAAAGCAACGCTGCACTCCCACTCGGGTCCGTATTGTGCTGTCAGCTTGTCTTTCCTCGACGAGAAGTTGGTGGAGGTGGAGTCGATCTACAAGGGCGCCTCCGATGGGAAGTCCTGGACAGAGGGTTTAAGGGCACCTTCAAAGACCTCCTGAAGCACAGCGAGAACACTTTGGAGAAGTTCGACGGCGATCGACTGAGCGCGTGCTTCGAGGAGTCCAAAGCGAAGCTGGCCAAGTACAATGATACCCTGAGCCTGTTTGGGGAGGCCATCGACCCGAACCTCAAGGCTCGGGCCGACGCCGCACACCAGCACGCAGATGCCACAGTGGCAGAGTTCATGTTGATAGCTATCTACAAAACGCCGAAGACCAACGAGGTGCAGATGAAGCGTCGGATGTCGCCAGTGGTGGCCGATATCGACAAGGTGCCTGGTGTGCGCGAGAAGGTCAATGTGCTCATTATGAAGGAGGCCGACTCGATCGTGAATCCGCAGACCAAGGCGATTGCAGCCGCCGCCCCGAAGTGATAATGATGTTGGGACTGGCGGCCATGCCTCGACAACGACGGTGTGCGGTGGTGGCGTGCTGTCCTGGCAGGAGGTCGTGCGCTTCGTCGGCGTGAAGCTCACAGAGATGTACGGTTTGGCGCCGTGCTCGCTGCTCGGCGCCAGTGGCGTGGATTGTTGGACCGAGGATTTCCTTTGCATTTCTGGCGCCACGGTGTATCACCGGTCGTCTCCTCCAGTCATCTCGCTTTTCATTGGGCCCCCCCGGGCCCCCCCCCGGCGCTTTTCATTCCCCCCGCCCCCCCATGCCCCCCCCTCAGTCGTTTCCGTCGGCGGCCGAATCCTGATCCAGAGGTCCTGGGGAAAAGAAAGTCGGGGGGGGGGGGTGGCCCAGGAAACCCGACGTTTGTTGCCCCCCCTCGTAATCGCGGTGGCCCCTCAGGCAGAGTGGGGACGGGCAGGGGGAGTGGAAGGAGGTGAAGGGAGAGATTGTTGGATGGGGGGTTCGCCTGGTGGAAGGAACAGCTCGGTGGAAGAGGCACGGGGGATGACCGAATGCCGAAACTGATGGTAACTGAGCGGGGGGTAGGGCTCCGACTAGGAGGAGGAGGAGGGGGAGGAGGAGGAGGAGGAGGAGGAGGAGCAGGAGCAAGGGCAGGAGCAGGAGCAGGAGGAGGAGGAAGAAGAGGAGGGGGGAAGATGGACGTGGGGGGCGGGGGGGGGGGAGATTTCCCTTTTGCCATCCCCCTGTCGGCAGAACCGACCTGGAGCTATTTTTCTTATCCGTAAGGGCTTCGCCCCCTGCCGCCGGCCCCCTCTCTCGGATAATGGGCCATGGAAGAGCTAAGTCATGAGGCCTTGGCGCTGTCGTGAAGCAGTATCGAAACTTCATGCGAAGCCGAGTCGCAATCAGCAAAACCAACTGATCACAAGAGGGGTTACCACGCCTGGCGATTGGTAAGACGTGTATGGTTTAAGGGCTTGGTTACCACACCTTGCGATCAAAAGGGCAGAGGGAGTTCTCGCAGTTTGGGTTACCACGCCTTGTGATGGATATGCGTGATGGGTTCGAATTTCAGAAATGTGGCAAATCCCTTGTGTTTTTGGACCCTGACCCCGCGGATCTGCGTGAGGGGTGGCACCGAATTTCAGAAATGTGGCAAATCCCTTTGTGTTTTTGGACCCTGACCCCGCGGATCTGCGTGAGGGGTGGCACCGAATTTCAGAAATGTGGCAAATCCCATGTGTTTGTTGACCCTGACCCCGCGGATCTGCGTGAGGGGTGGCGCCGAATTTTTAGAAATGTGGCAAATCCCATGTGTTTGTTGACCCTGACCCCGCGGATCTGCGTGAGGGGTGGCACCGAATTTCAGAAATGTGGCAAATCCCATGTGTTTTTGGACCCTGACCCCGCGGATCTGCGTAAGGGGTGGCGCCGAATGTCAGAAATGTGGCAAATCCCATGTGTTTTTGGACCCTGACCCCGCCGATCTGCGTGAGGGGTGTCGATTTCGAGCCCCCCCAGCAATTCAGACAACGCGCCCAGGGGGTGCTAAAAAATCCTGTTTGGGCCCCCCCCCCTCGCGCGGTCAATCAACTAGTTACAGTAACCAGCAAGAAGTCAATTAGTTACAGTAACCAACAAGAAGCAGAACTGTAACACTGGAAACTACAACCTACGACTGGTACAGGAAACTGCGAATCACGGTCCTACAGCCTGGTGGCCCCACAAGGGGGCCGGCGGATTGTTCCAATCCGCCATTCTCTGCCTCCATCTTGCCTTACCTCCCCCATTCCACCCTTCCACTCCTGGTTCTCCAGGGGTCGTTTCACTTTCCCAGCCCGACTTATATTCAAGGGGCTTGCGCCGCCCCCGCCAGGCTCTTGACCCCGCTCATGGCCATGCAAAGTTGCCCACCTGGAATCCTCGAGATGGTGGTTGACAAGGGTATTGCAAGTGTTCGCTGTCAGAGTTGACGGGTCGAAAACTGAGGATGCAGAGATCCGAGCGCCCGCGCGCGTTAGTTCCCGATATTCGATAAAGCTCGGCAGCATATCGTAGCATTGCGCGGCATAGCATGGCGCGGCACTGCGCCGTCTAGCATGACATGCCGCAACCTCGCGCGGCGCTTCAACGCGTGGCGCCGCGCCGCCGTAAAGGCAGCGGGGCACGTTGGATAATGGTTGTAGCGGTATGCGCGGGTTTTCGCGCGTTGTGGCCACGTGCACTTAGTCGGATTTCTGGGGGGGTACTGCCCAAGCGGCGTCTCGCTAGCGTGCGCAAATGGGGCTTGTGGCTCCGACCACTGTTCGGCAGCGTAAAACTTTCGCGCGTCGGTGAAATCAGGTGGTTGCGCGCGAGGTCGGAAATGTGGCTGCGCGTTGCGCCCGACAACGTTCCCTGGTTGAGCGGGTGGTCGTGTTCGACCTCCGACGCTTTGAGAAATTTCACGCTAAGTAGCGGAGTACTTGGAAACGTACGTTTGACGTACTTAGGCAAGTAGCGTCATTTCGGCGCTGTAGGAGGACAGGCCCTTTTCAATACAAGGACGCCTCGGCACGTCAGCACGCCGCCAGCGAACGGTGCAGCCCAGCAGCTCGGCAGCTGCCAGCCACCTGCATGCCCTGGCGTCGGAGGCATCCGGCTTCTGCATGGGCAGCGTGGCAGGTGCTGAGTGGGTGTGGCTGTCCACCATGCACATGGTGATTGGCTTCGTCAAATGAGCGGCCCCGCATCGAGTGGTTCAGCCTTCCGCGGTCCAAGTTCGTTCCGCTCTTCTCGGCGCAGCCACAGCCCCAGCCCTCGCCTTGACATCGCATCGTTGTGCCCCCGAACTGCGTGAGTCGGATGCGATGTAAGTGGGCCGGCTACCTGCTGGTGGTTGCCAGCCTCGTGCACGCACACCAGTGGTCTTCACAGCGCAGTGATCGGCAGGGGTTGGTGACCGACATTACCCACCGCACCGCCCTCGCTCAGCCCCGCCCCCCCGCGGTCAAGAAGTTATGTGCATGGATGCCCTGTGTGTCTTTATTTGTGTCCAGCGGCTTTTGGCTGCGCCCCCTCCTTCTCTTCCTCTCATTCACAACGTCTCTGCGGCTTTTGGCTGCGCCCCCCGATCAACGGCGTGGACTGCATTGGCCGCAGAAGAGCGTCCGCCCTGAGACCTGCCCAGGGAGCATCGGTCCCTGGTCCCCGACCCAGCCATGGTTCTACTACAAGGACGCCTTGGCACGTCAGCACGCCGCCAGCGAACGGTGCAGCCCAGCAGCTCGGCAGCTGCCAGCCACCTGTATGCCCTGGCGTCGGAGGCATCCGGCTTCTGCATGGGCAGCGTGGCAGGTGTTGAGTGGGTGTGGCTGTCCACCATACGCATGGTGATTGGCTTCGTCAAGTGAGCGGCCCCGCATCGAGTGGTTCAGCCTTCCGCGGTCCAAGTTCGTTTTGCTCTTCTCGGCGCAGCCACAGCCCCAGCCCTCGCCAGGACATTGCATCGTTGTGCCCCCGAACTTCGTGAGTCGGATACGATGTAAGTGCACCGGCTACCTGCTGGTGCTTGCCAGCTTCGTGCACGCACCCCAGTGGTCTCTTATTGGATGGTGCCCCGACACCCCTCATTGACACCGGTGCTCAGCGGCTTTTGGCTGCGCCACCCTCCTGCCCGAGACCCGCCCTGGTTCGTCGCCGACCCGGCCATGGTTCTACCACAAGGACGTCTTGGCCCGCCGTCAGCACGCCGCCTACGAGCGGCACGGCCCAGCAGCTCGGTAGCCGCCAGCCATCGTTTCGCCACCGGCGTCGGGGTATTCGGCTTCCGCACGGGCGGCGTGGCAGGTGTGGAGTGGGCGCGGCTGTCAGCCATGCGCTCGGTGACACCCTATGTTTGGCTTCGTCAAGTGAGTGGCCCTGCATTGAGTGGTTCAGCCTTCTGCAGTTCGTGGTCGTTCTCCTTTCAGAGCAGCCCCAGCTACCAGCCCTTGTCAGTACATTGCATCGTTGTGCCCCCGAACTGCGTGAGTCGGATACGATGTGCACGCGCTGGCTACCGGCTGGAGGTGGCTCAGCCTCGTGAACGCACACCAGTGGTCTTCCTCTACTGGATGGCGCTCTGACGCGGATCAACCACACCTCAGCTTCAGTGAGCGTTGATGAGTCAGGCATAGTCAGGCCTCTTTCGCCGCATCATCGTTTACCCGGGGTGCTGCAGTGAGTCTGAGTTAGTCGCTCGCGCTCGCACTCTCCCCCCTCTCTTTTCCGAGGTCTTGGACGGCCTGTCCCTGTGTGCACGCCCGTGGGCTTCGCTTGGTCATTGGCCATTTGGATCCGCGTTCTGCCTGCGGCTTTACAGCGCCCCGCTGTCCGTCTTGGCCTCGCTTCCGAACGTGGTTCGGCTGGAGCTTGGCGCCGCAAGGGCGACTTCTCCCCCCCGTTCCGCTGCCGGTCGCCGCGCCTTTGCTTCCCCACCTGCCGGGTTGCGTGGGCCGGTCACCTGCCGACGCTGTCTTGCGTCTCAATGAGGGGCATTTTGTCTTTGGCATGTGCGTGCGCCACTGCGGCCAATTTACATCGTACCGCGCCCCGGACGTTGCCCCCCCCCCCCCCCCTTCCCCCCTCTGTCCCTCGCCTTGGAGCCGCGAACCAAAAAAAACGTAACCCCACCAGCCCATTCAGAAGCGATGCCCAGGCGAGTTGCCGGAGTACTTCTCATCCTGGGACCCTCAGGGGCGGCCCCGCGCGCGCGAACGAGACTTATTGTTAACCAGTTACCCGAGATCTTAGCAGCACGCCCTTGGCCCGCTGGGCCAGCGAATTTCAATTCGTTTTTTGGCCACCCCTGGTTTGCGCACGTGCCACTGGTCATGATTTGCGACCCCCCTCTTGGACGCCCCCCTTTCTGGCGCCCCCGAAACCGCCAGCGCGCAGCCACCGCGCCGACGTGCGAAGATCGCTCAACGCGGCGGCCGCCAGAGCGACCATCCACGCGGAGCGGTGACGTTTGCCCGCCACGCTCGCGCACGCGTGTTTGTGGCAGCGCCCGCCTTCAGCGGCGTCCGGCGCGCGCGCGCGCCCAGACGGCGTCTCTGCCACGCTGCGGAGGCCAGCTCTTTCGGCGTTCGTGGCCGGATTCTTTCCGTATTTCGGTTTGGTCTGCCATTATTCTATAGGTTTACGCCACATCCGCCGACCCCTATATAAACTACTGCGCCTCCAGGACTGCATTTCACGAGGATTGTCCGAATCATGACACGGCGCTCGATATCGTTCTTGCTGCTTCGTTGCTGTTATCGTACCTCTTGGTGCTCTTTTGTGGCCTTTGGGTGGCATCTTGGCCTGTCTGCAGGCTGCATGCCATATCCGGCCGCCTCGAGGCATCTTGGGCCAAGTTTTGGGACCTCTTGGGGGCTTCCTGGGGGCTTCTTGGAGGCCTTTGAGGTTCTCTTGGGGGTCTCTCAGGGCCTCTTGGGCTGTTCTTGGGGCAGGCTGGGGACGTCTTGGGGCCAAAGGCTCGAAAAGGTGCCCTCTGGGCTCCGTCTTGGAGCCGTCGGGGGGCCCTCTTGGGCTGTCTTGGGGGCTTCGGGGGCTGTTGATGGACCTTTTTCGACCCTTCTTGGGGGCCCCTTTGGCCGTCTGGGGGCGATATTGCAGGTTTCTTTGCCCGTCTGGGACGTTGTGAAAACCGAGTAGGCGAGCATGCGACAAATGCTTGTTTTTCGAAGGGAACGGGGCGATTTTAGTTTCTTGGGGCCCTCTTTGGGCGCATCTTGGGGGCCTCTTGGGGCGTTTTGGCAGCTTCGGAGGCCGCCTGGAGGCCATCGTGGGCGTCCAGGGCGATATTTCGGCGATTCGTGGCCCCCTGGGACCGTCTGGGGAGCGTTTTGGTGCCTTCTCGGCCAGTTTTGGAGCCCTCCGCTCCCACGTGGCTCGTTCGGTCCGGGGACGGGCTGGGCGAGGGGGGGGGTCGAATTGCCGGTTTGGGGTCCTTGGGGGGGGGATTATGGGGGGGATAATCTCGCACGCCTAGAGGCCCACAAGGGGTCGGCGGATTTTGTTTAGTTTCTGATTTTTCCTTAGCCAGGCCATCTCATCTCGCCGCTGTCAGCCCGCCCTTCGTTCCGGTTTCATGCGACCAGCTACGTCTTCTGACAATAGAACGGCTACCTTTCTGCTCTTCAGCCGGCTTCTCCGTGTCCACCATGGTCTCTCTCTCGCTCTCCCTCTTTCCCCTTCTCTTTTAACGAGCACTAGGAAGTGTTTATTTTATCAATGAACAGCTTGCTCTCGGGTCCAGCAGTGGCCGCCCAGGGTCGGGATGTGAGTTTTGGAGTGGCTTGGGGGGGGGGTCGGACGTGGGTCCGGATGTGGATTTGGAATTGGAATTGGACGTGGGTTTGGGTGTGAGTTGCGACGTGGTTTTGGACGTGGGATTGGACGTGTGTGTGGGTTTAAACGTGGACTTGGACATGGGTTCGTACGAGGGCTTAGACGTAGGTTGCGGACGTGTGTTTGGACGAGGGCTTGGACTTCGGTTGCGACGTAGTTTTGGGGGTAATTTATGGCTCACACACTTAGTGCTCCATAGACAGGGATCCATACAGATAGGGGTCCACACTATTTGGTTCCACACATGGGGTTCCACACCTAAAGTTCCGCAGGTGTTGTGCGAATGAATTGTTTGGGGTGCGGGAACTGGCATCATTGTTTTGGGGTAGCCAGTAACCCGAAGAAGGTACAGCTGAGCGATACGGTCAGAGTGCGGAGGCCAACATGTGTAGATATGTATAGCTGGTCAGCACACCCAGAACTTACGCATAAGCGACAGACGAAATGCATCGGGAATGGATCATGACAGCGCATTGCATGTTTCGGACGCAGAACGACACAGATTTGCAGTACAGTCAAAACCAGCGTTTAGCATGGGTCCATATCTTCAGGCAACCTTGCATAATCTGGTTTGGGCCATCCTTTGTAAGCTTGGTCAAGCGCATTCCTGGCTTTCGCGTCGTTTCATCGGTCTTGCAACCTCCATCCATACCGCTGATTTTAACAGCAGGTCTCTTGTCCCAGGTGTGCAGATCGCAGACTTCAAGGAAAGTGCCAGAGTGGGGGCAGAGGCGGGAGCAGTCGGAAGAGGGGTCGGCACAAGCTTGTGAGGACCTGCAGTCGAGCCTGTCCAGTCTCCGCGAGAAGTGACCCACCTGACCGCCCGCGAGCTCCCGCCCCTGCCACCAGCGAGTCGTGGTACCGCCGATCACGCGGATGCCAACCCTGAGACCCAGGCATTGCAATTGTTTGTCAGGCCGGGCGGTTTCGCCTGGGCTCTTGGGCCCCAGAACCATCACACATCGATCCGGCTCGAAGAGTGCTGCGGAAAGATTGGGTCTACGGCTCTGGCTGCTGTTTTTTCGCAGCGTCGAGAATAAGAAGGTATCCAGGGTGGCAGGAAGAAGGTGGGGTGGGATTGGCGGCGTCGGGGCGGCCCCCTGGGGCCAACCTATGACTATCTTTTCCAGTCGGTCAGGTTCCCCCCCTCCCTTTCCCGCACCGTGATCCATCGTTGGGCTCAGGACCAGGAGCTCATGGGGGCAGGGGGACGGAATGGGGAATCGTAGGAGGAGGAGGAGGAGAGCGCGGAGGTAACCAGGACACAGCGGGTTGGGGTGGGGAGGGAAACAGGATGGGTGACGGGGAGAGGAAATGACGAGCTGGGCCAGGGGCAGTGAGCAGAGGAGTAATTAGTTTTGCAGGCGCTCGTCGTTCCTCCGATTCCTGTGCTGATCTTGGGACCCGGAGTGTGCGCCAGAGACGGGGGGGTGCGACGTCCCTGGTCAGACGCACAACCGCTGCCGCACATCGCTCCCCTGTGTCGCTCGCCCCACCCAGTCCGCTCACCCAGCAGGCGTGAGAGGTTCCTGGGACGCTCGGATGGTGATCACGACGCCTCTGCTGACTGAGGATATGACGCTGCTGCTGATGATGATGATGGTGATCATGATCATGATCATGACGATGACGATGACGGTGATGGTGACGATGGCGATGAGGATGATGGTGTCGACGACGACTGCGACGGAGATGATGATGGCATTGATGATACTGATGATGATGACGATGATGATAATGATGATAATGATGATGAGGATGATTATGACGATGAGGTCGTTGCCGATGATGATGATGCTGATGCTGATGCTGATGCTGATGATGATGATGATGATGATGACGATGATGATGATGATGATGATGATGATGATGATGATGATGATGATGATGATATGATGACGATGGCGGTGGCGATGACGACGACGACAGTGATGATGATGATGCTGCTAGTGATGTGTGATGAGGTTGCTGCTGCTGATGCTGATGCTGATGCTGCTGATGATGATGATGATGGTGATGATTGTGATGCTGGATATGCTGCTGCTGATGATGCTAATGATGATGATGATGATGATGATGATGATGATGATGATGATGATGATGATGATGATGATGATGATGATGATGAAGAAGATGAAGATGAAGATGCTGATAATGATGCTGATGATGCTGGCGATGACGTTGTTGCTGCTGCTGATGGTGGTGATGACGATTGTGGTGATGATGATGATGATGATGATGATGATGATGATGATGTGGTGATTGTGCTGATGCGGATGCTGATGCTGATGATACTGATGATGATGGTTACGTTGATGATGGCGATGCTGATGATGATGCTGCTGATGATGATGATGATGATGATGATGATGCTGCTGCTGATGTTGATGATAATGCTGTTGACGATGATGATACTGCTGATGATGACGGTGTTGATGATGATGATGAGGAGGAGGAGGAGGAAGATACTGCGGATGCCGATAATGCTGAGGACGATGTGGCTGTTGATGACGAGGGGGCGTTAGATTTCATGCTTCTCAGAGGCTTGATGTTTGTGCACCCTACTGGCTGGCGGCTAGGTGTGGTTCACAGAGTTTTCTGTCCTCGTCTTGGGGAAGCAAGTGTCTCGGCCACCAGCGTCGAGCTCCTCCTCCTCCTCTTCCGCCTCCCCCTCCTGCCGTGTGTCGGCCTCCTCTTGGACGTAACTTGCGGCATTGTTGAATCAACCATGCCGAAGCCACGTTGGAGCGTTGTGCAAGACCTGCAGTCTAGATTGTGAAGAAGCCCGATACACCTTCGCACCGAGTTTGAATTCTAGACGCTTCGCGTGACCCCACCAGCAGAATTGTGGTTGGCTACCAGCTTCAGACGGCTATCCTCATGGATGGCTGGCCGCAGGGTCCCCGCCATCTCTCCGGCGTCCTGCGAAATTCTAAAGGTGGCAAGAAGGGGAATTCAGGCAAAGGGAAAGGCGGCACCGCTCGCGACGGGCAAGACACCCTCGGCCCTGGACCCTCCCCTCAAGGCCACAAGGTGGACGTTTTCCGGTGGGAAACCGTCTTTCGGGAGGACCACAACGCCCATACAGCCATCGGCACGTCTTTCCCTGGACTCAGGCAGGTTGCGGGCGAGCACTTAAAGAGTGGGGCGCTCAAGCTCACCACCATAGACTCCAGCCAGGGAGGGGAGGCGGACATCGTAATTGTACTAACTACGAGGAGCAACGGGAGCCACCACTGGGGCTTTGTCGACGACGCCAAACGCCTGAACGTGGCGATCACCAGGGCCAAGCGGAACATCCTGATGTTGGGAGACGGGCGCATATTCGCCAATGCCACCTGGTCCCAGCTGCGCGTGCTCTCTGAATACGGGCGCCTGACCCGCCTCTGGGTTCGCTTCAGTGGCAGTGCCCCCGCTGGCCACAGGAGTTCCCTGGTTATCGACGAGAGCTTCGACCCGCTGCGCGCCCTCGCCTCCTGGGTACCCCTCTTGCCTGGAGCTGCGACGCAAAGAGGGAGAGCGGACAAAATGAGCTGGACGCGGCCAAAAAGAAAGCACGTGACGCCCAGGCTAGTGGTTTCGCCGAGCGCTACAACACTCCCCTGGATGAGGACTTCGACTGGGACTCCCTGGGGAAGCTAATCTCGGCCCGCCTCAATGAGATTCTCTCGACGCCTGCCTTCCACGTGCTCATCTACCCGGTGTCAGGGCTGCGCCCGCGCGAGTTCTCACTGGCGGAGACACTGCGACAACCGGGCAAACTCGACCGCAAGGCGTGGTCGCACTTGGGTTTCCTGTTCGACATGTCCCTGGGACTAGACGCGACCAATCTAGTTTACAACATGCTCTGGGCCGCAATGGCGTGGACGCTCGGCCTGGGCACCCCCTGGCATGACGCGAACTACGCAATCCACGACGACTCCCTTCCACCGGTGCCGCACGTCAGAGGGGGACGTGTAACGCTCTGTGGGCGGCGCCAGTGTACCCCCAAGGGACTCTTCCGGCAGGTTCCCAAGGCGTGGAGCGCTGCTACCAAGGACTGCTGCAGGCACAGGAAGCACCCTGGAATGGCCGGGCTACAGGACATCCTCCGTGGCGCTTCCGACGGCTCTAAGCGGGACCAGATCCGTAAGGAGATCATCGACGCCGACGGCCTCCCCATGGAATCCTGCAAGGCCCGGTCGCTCTTGGTCGCCATGATGCTAATGCTCCGCGAGCCGCGCGTGTTCCTGTGGCCCTTCTCTCACGCAGAGCAGACCGGGGACGTCATCGAAGCCATCCTGGGTTTCTGTGTCCCCTGGCAAGAGGCGCACCGAGGGTTCCGACGCGACTTTGCGCGCACCTGGAGCCTCACGTTAGACGACCTAGCCGACCTCCGCGGCCGCGTCGAGGCAATCCTGCCCCACATCTCCAAGCTCGCGGCGGTGGCGCACCACCGCCCGGATGCGCGGGCAGCCGGCTGCCCGCAGACCTGGAGTGAAATGGGCAGGCAGGATTTTCAGCTGAAAGCGCCGATGCTCGTCCTCGAGAAGATCGTCCCTGCCGCCGCTCTGGCTTCCCTGGGTGCGCGCCGCTGCTCGGTGTGCGCGCTACGCGTCGCGCTGGCGGGAACCGACGCCTCCCTGGGCGCCGATGATCGGCTTGCGGGGCTCGCGTACATCGGCGGCGGATCCGCCTTATCCAATACCGACCTCAACGCCCCCTTGCCGCCCACCCCCGCCCCAGGCGCCAAGCAGGACCCTCCGCGCATTCCTTACGAAAGGCTCGCACCCGAGCAGAAAAACGGCAGGTTCAGGTGCGACAGGTGCGGGAGGGACCAGTTGCGCTCCACCGATGGCACGTGGATCTCCGACGACGCGCGCCTGATGGTCGCTCAGAATAGGCCCCTGGCCTACCTCAACGGCGCAAACATGGGGTGGCACTGCGAGACCTGCTGGATACGATACCTGGAGGATCAGGGCATCCCAGCACCGACAGGCGCGACAATTGCCGACAAGGTCAAGGAGCACGAACAACAGAGGACGGGCGCCGCGAGCAACAACAAGGCGCACGCTCTCCCCTCCCTGGGCCACCTCCCATTTGGCTTTGGATGCAGCCCCCAGGCGGACACGTGATCGCTATCGGACCTCATCATGACGCCGACGGGCATGCAGATCCCTGAGCGTGCCAACACCACCATTCCCATCCTACGGATCCGAGACGAACGGTTCGGCCTCAGAGCTGCCCAGAGCCAAATGTACTCCGCCCGGTGCGACACATGCCCCCCGGGGGCGCCGCTCCTCGTCTGGAACACAGGAGCCCCGCCCCTGGGCTGTTTCATATGGAAGCCTGCGGAAGGGGTAGGGGTTCCCGAGCAGGCCGGGCTGCCTCCCATCGACAGGCGAGCCATAGCCTGGTGGGAGCGCAGATGGAACGCCACCTGGTGCTGTCGACGCTGCCTGGTCCCGGTATGGAATATCGGTCCTGCTACCTTGGACCGCATCCTGGATCGGGACTTTAGAGCGCTGTACCCAGCCGAGGCCCCTGTCCTCCCGACGCTCAGCAGTCAGATCGGAGCTGAGGTATCAGTGGACATTCAAGTCTCTCCCATGGCTAGGCGCGGACGCCAGGGCTCAGGATCGCTTCACCAAGGCCGGAACGACAAACCTCCCTGGGTCTAGCGCCGCGGATGGTGCCGCTTCTGCGGCAGAGCGAGCTCCCAGGCCCCTAGCACAGCTCATGGAGCTCTTGCCAGAGCTGCCAGTCCCGCAGGGCCCGCTCCTGGACAACAGGGACGTCAACAACCCCACGCTGAGCCCAAACGACC